TAGTCCTCGAGTAAATCTTTCCAGCGGAGGAGGTTTACTTTGGCCAAGTGACGTCCAGTAGGCTACCCAGGGAGCCCAGGGTGGATTTACCCGGTTTGGTTTGGATTTTTCCAAAGACCTAACATCTCTATGCTCGGTAAACTCCATTACAAATTTATCTGGAATTCCAGTTTCTGCAGTCCCCGGGTCGCTGTTGTCGCACGCAGGCTATGGTTTGTGTAAATTGACCTTCATCTTTGCATAACCTTTTAACCGTTTCCGACAGCATGTTGTGCCTACTGGACAATTTCCACACTAAACCGCAAAATATTAAAAAAAAAATATTGTGACACTATTTTAACCTAACGCATACAATCTGCTGTTTCGTTCAAAACTTACTATCATCAGAATACTTGAACCAACGCGTAGGAGTTATAAAAATAAAACGCCCGGCGTTCTTCCCCTGAACCCCGTGGTAACATGAAAGCGTCGACTGCTTCTAAACAATCGAACACGCCGATAAAATGGTCAAAACAACTGAACAAAGAAACCAAACAACACAAAGCAAACTCCTTTGAGGACGCCACGAAGCGTTTCTTGAAACCTTGTCGAAACCTCAAAATTTTATAAAGGTGATGTTACACGAGACGATTCGCAACGACGATTTTTAGCGCAAAATAGCGACGCAATATTGGAACAATGTTGAAAGCATTCGAAGCAATGTCGCAACAATATTGTGACGCTGTGTTGCACTGAAAATCGACGTTGCGAATCGTCTAGTGTAACATCACCTTTATAAAATTTTGAGGTTTTGACAAGGTTTTAAGAAACGTTTTGTGGCGTCCTCAAGGGAATTTGCTTTGTGTTCTTTGGTTTCTTTGTTCATTGTTTTTTTTTATAATTCGTTGAGGCGTAAGCATGCACGTGGCTAGTGTTTTGTTCTCTTGAACAAAAGGTTAAAGGTCTTAGGCCCCGTCCACACGTATCCGGAGATTTTTGTATCCGCAAATTTTTTTTATGCGGATACAAAAATATCTGCGTCCACACGTAGCGTGTACGAATCGTATACGACCTTCCACACGTATCCGATTCGCATCCGGACATCTCAAAGGATTAGTCAACAGAGCACGCGCATTAAGACTGGTTCTGATACTGTGACGTCAGCGTATACAAAAATATACGGATACGAGCGTCCACACGTATCCGGATACACAGCGTATACAGAAATTTCCACTCTGGAGAGCGTATACAGAAATCTCCGGATACACCGAGCGTATATGGCGGACACGTGTGGACGCTAGGTGTATCCGCATAAAAAATTTGCGGATACAAAAATCTCAGGATACGTGTGGACTGGGCCTTAATTATTGAATCATGGTAAAATTGGGACCGAAAATTCGGTTCAGATTTATATAATAGACACATGTGTTTTCCACTTATAAAGATCTATCACGAATAATATCATGAAATAATTGTCAGATAAATACCTCGAACTGAGGTATTAATTCATATACATCCCGGGGTCATATAGATTAATACCTCCGTTCTCAGTATTTATCCCTTACATTCATGAAAATTCAAAAATAGGTTAGCGATGCTCGCGCGACACCAAGGCAATCAAGTTTATAGACCTGTCTTCGCAAGACATTACCTGGAAAACTATAAATAGAGGATATTACCCTTAACATATCATTTTCTAGTGGTGAAGTAGAATATTCTTTTCGCCACTCCCTGATTTTATGTCATACAAAGTTTTCTTCTTCGTACATTCTCCTGCACCTCAGAGAAAGATTTTATGTCAGCTTTAGAAAACTTCACGAATCATTGGCAACTGTGTAAAAACAATGGTTTGAGCGGGAAATGACGTCATCGATATCCTCACTAGTGAGGATATGGAAGTCCCGGATGGAGTTTCATATAAACTTCACGAGTGGTCTGTTTTCCACTAAAACACTTATGTCTATATAATAAATAATTTTATTATTCATTCAAAATATTTCTCCAATTCTGATTGGCTAAAAGCATACGCACAATTCACCATAACCAGTTACTGATGACCAAATTTGGAAGAATTTTGTGTTTAACGAAAAATTGACGTCAAAAATGCAGCCTTCTACAGGTTAATGCACCGTTAACCGAGAAGACCTGGGGACGAGGTTGAGTTGTTTTGGTTATGAACTTGAAAAATGGCGGACATTTCACTCGTTTTAACTAGGCGAAAAAATAGCTAGCAACATGGCAAGAACAGCAAGAAGACAGCTCGAAGGGCGACTTCTGCTACTTGGAGAGTATTTGCGGGGCTGAACAACCCTAAACGTGCACTATCGAAGATGAACTTAACATCGAAGGATCGATGGAGGTAAGCTTGTTTACCCATGTTTTTAAACTAGGAATTATTTTTAATGAATAATAAAACAATTATTGTATTCGGCTTTCGTATCATATGAAGAATTATGGAGATCTCGGAGGGTGTTACAGCCTCGACGGATAACACCCTCCTCGATTTCCATAATTCTTCATAAGATACTCAGCCTCATTCATTAATTGTTAAATAATTTACGTATATTTCACTCTCAGAAAAATAACAGGAGGCCTTTAAAGTTTACAAGTTTATTGTCAATTACAAAGCTTCACACATGTACGTCAAATGTGATCGATATGACCATCTTCGCACTGTCTTCAGTACTTTGACTTGTATCTTCTGTAAGGCTTTAACGTCTGATGAGTGTGTTTGGATTTCCATAACGCTTTGCACAACCAGCCCGGCACCATTTTTTGGTAGGGCTATTGAAGAAAAATGCTCCACCGACTCTAACTGAACCGTAGTAGACTTCTGCAGCCATCTTACATGGAAGGTCCCAGAAGCTGCAATTTGTCAGCATGTCTTTCCAGAAAGCATCGTCGCATTGGATTCGCTGCCACCCATAATGTCGACCCTGAAAACAGAAAAAAATTAATAGTTTATTTCCTCTGCGCCTTATGGTAAGGGAATCCAAACGACCACTTTTTTCGATAATGGCAGCATTCTTGTTGAATTCTACGAAGACTACGCTGATAATATATATTTCGGGTGGTTGGGGCACTGGCAGGGGGTGATCGTGTTCCTGTTATAAGCACGCCATCTTTGTTTGTTATTATAATAAACGTATTACATATTGCGGTGAAGACGTCGCTTTTTTCTGTAAGTGAATCTGCCTTTTTCTTACCATCTTTTTTTACGATTATTTCAACTGGCTTTCTTTCTCAAATGTAGGCGAACTCTCTTGGAGTTGAATTACTAAGAAACGTAATGGGAAGTACGTATTTAAGCGATAACATACATTTTATTTTGCTTACAATATAAGTACGCCACTATTTGAAGTGAAATTGCAAATATATGAAGCATTTATGTTTTTTTTTAAAGTCATCCTTGGCAATATCTGAGATTGCCTCTCACGCAGTTTGATTATGAGCCCTTAATTCGGCGTCGGAACTCCAAGCAAAAATATCCAGGTCAACAGGCCACTTCTGAGTTCCAAAAGCCCTCACTTTCAAAATGAGGCCAGGTGCACTACCTTTCTTGTGAAAATGAGTTTTATTTGCATGAGAATGAAAAATCATTTTCATATCAAAGGCTGAGCACTTAACCTCGTTTTGATACAGAGGCCCGGGGGAACTCGGAAATGGCCTATTGGCCACTTTGAGGTTGTGCAGGAGACCGGGTCGGAGATGGATGTCAAGTGCATTGTGGGACTGTTTTGGGGGACGCATTTTCAACATGGTGGCAACTTCGTCCTCAAAACAGTCCCACAATACACTTTGACAACCATCTCAAACCGGTCTCCCTCGCAACCTCAAAGTGGCGGATAGAGTGTTTTCAGATGACGTCACGGCGGCCATGTTGGTGTCCCAATCCAGTCCTGTGGGAGGTGAACTCTTTTGTTATGCAAACGCTTTCGTTTGTTGCAACAAATTTGCGCACATGCTGGCCACGTGAGTGAAAACGCTCTATAAACCTGCATAAATCAGTTGACAGGAAAGAAGACGGTGGATAAATAGAGAATACTTCATGGAAAGTGCTGGCGTACGGTATTTACGCACGAGTTGTTGACGTATCAGAAATCGAACGAGTGAGCGCAGCGAACGAGTAAGATTTCTGATACAAAAACAACGAGTGCGTAAATACCGTACAAAGCACTTTCCATGTGGTATTGTGTTTATTATATACATACTAAGTCATTCATCATTTTGCGGGCCTTTTTATTTTAAATCTTTCAAAAATGCTAAAATTTGCCGCTACACACTTACCGCAAAATGACAACGAAAACGAAGTATCAGCTTTTTAGTAAAAACGTTTGTTAAAAACATAAATGACGGTGAGGATATGAGGTTTAATCCAAGAACTATAAGTAATCTTAACTGTTTGTTCTCAATGCACAATTGAAAATGAGTGAATTTAAGTAAAATGGCCGGTTTCAATATAAGCCTAAGCTTAAATGAAAGGCAAAGTAGCTCCGACAAAAAGCACAACAAAAGCTTACGTCTCGTTCTGTTTATCCCTTTCCGCTGTTGTTTCACCGGCTCTCTACCTTATTTTTTTATCGACAGTGAAACAAACGAAACTATTCCACTCCATTTCCGAAATGTTTTTCACTTTTTTAGCGAGAAAAACTCCTTGAGTAAAACTTTTTTCGTTGATAAATGTGTGCGAAGCGGCGCTGCAAGCTGCAATAAAAGGCGGGAATTTTGGCGCGAAACTCCTACACCTCTGTGGCTTCTGATTGGACGTATCATTTTTCTCACACGTGAAAAAACATCGTTCGCGATTCTGATTGGACGTATCGTTTTTTTCACGTGTGAAAACCATCGTTCGCTCCTCTGATTGGCTATAACTAATTTGCGTACGAAAATTTACGACATAGCTTTTTGGTGAGTATTTCTCAGTATGTATATAATAACAACGCATCCCCAAGCGGTGTAAACAGGGCTGCTTAAGCTATCTTCGTCCTCATACATTTGCAGTAACCCCTTTTTTTCTTAAGAAAGAAAATTAGTCTTACACAGTAGTAGCAGACATCATGTTTGTCACAGGCAAGTCTAAATTTTGTCTTGTAGAAGAATGAGAGGTCTCCTGGTATGGAGCATCCATTAACTTTTACGTAGCATGAGGTCACTTCTGGGATCAAGAAAAATACTACCAACAGACTAAGCACGGCGCATAAGGCTGAGAGTCTCATGGCGATGTCAACTGGACAAAGAGAAAACCTTAAAAAGAACAGAAAGAACAGCTGACAAAAGCTGAGAGACTGAAAAATTTTATAAAGATTAGCTTGCACAGGATGGTCACTTGTGGGATCAAGAACAACACTACTAGCAGACTAGTAGTATTTTTTGTATGATTCTCATGGTGATTTCTGTCAGTTAGGGAGGCAACCTTAAAAAAAAAGGTAGAGGTAAAAGACAGTGCAGCTAATAAACTTGGACATTTTGGATCGAGGTCTCCCGCCTACCGTACCTTGAATTTCTGACATACGCCAGAAGCCCTGATAGGCTCCTAAAGACACCCCTTTTTCCTGGACTGCCTTCGTGAGGCCCTTTATAATTTCAATTCCCCCTCCTCTTTCCCCTGCTTCACACCTTTTTATATTTCCCACGCTATGCCCTTTCATATTCCGCCTTCCTCCCCGCCCCCCATAAGGTTTTTCTGAGTTTTTTTCCTAGAGGATAAAACATCAGCACCGACGTTTTCAGTAGGTGTTCGTTCATCCCTCGCGCAGATTTTGAGACGAGTTTAGTGATGGTCAATTGCTATGGTTACGAGACATGACGTCATAATTAGCAGGTGGTCAAGCCAATTTTGGGTGAAAATTCATGTTTTTTCAACTTCTTTCAACAACAAAAGTAAATCTTGTGGCTAAAATCATGCAAAGTGTATATTTATGTGATATTTTTAATGCAAAACACAAAAATTACCATTTCTTGCGGTTTTAACCTGTTTTCCAATTCTCGGTAAAATCCAAGATGGCGACCATTGTGAGTGACGTCACAGGCCTCCAGCAGCGCCACCACCCATAAAATATACCTCATCTTGTTAAGAAGATCAAAGGCTTTCCACTAAAGGTAAGATCGTTTCAAAATACTGCAACACATCAAAAACTCCGGGGAGGGATTCCATCCCCCCCCCCCCCTCTTGTACCTTGGTGGGGGTATGAATTTGCTTGTACGTCCGAGGGGTAACAGTTGTCAGACAATGAATTATGCTTCCTTAAAGCTTCTAGAAGTAATTAGAGTAAAGGTGTTTGCCATTTACTTGTTTGTTGCATAGCCGTTAAGGTATTTTTACCAAATTTAAAGTAAAAAAGAAGAAGCATAATTTCGCAAATAACGCAAAAGTACGAAGAAGTTTTCTTGCTATATTAAAAGACTGAGTAACGAATATGGCAAAAATAGCAAGACTAACAAATTTAACAAAATTCTAGTTTTAGTATGCTAAAAGGCCAAGAAGGCCTTCGCGAAGTCTGCAAATACTACAAAAATCGCTGAAGTAACAAAGATTTTCATTGCAACTATAAAAAAAAAAATGGTGCGCAAATTTCGCAAAAGTAACAGAGTTCCATTGCAACAACAACAACCTACTTTGTTCCAATTGATTTAGTAATCCTTCCTTTTTAAGGCGCAAAATTAACAACAACCGCTGCCAATGTTATTGGTATATGCGGTGCCAATCCATTTATTTTAAATAACAATTGATACAGTTCTTCATATATGTGTGCTTCGTTCTACTCATGAATCATCAACAACATTAAATTCCTACAGCACTAAAATTTTGCACTCCTTTGCTTACACAGTTTGAATAATCGGCCCAAAAACACCTCTGTTATTGAGATGTATCTCAAAGTCAACAACAGCCCGTGACAGGAAAATTTCAATAAGTTAACATACAGCACATTGTCATAATTTGACGCAGTAATTTTTAGCTAGTGACCAACTAGTACTGGCATACAAAACAGTCAATTTCCAATAAGAAACCGCCATATCAAGGTTACTATCACAATTTAGTCAAAGGAGGGAATTATAACAAAAACCAGCAAGTGAAAAAAGAGGATCAAAAGACCAAAGCCATACAAATACAAATCGCCATAACATGATTGTTTCACTATCAACCTTTGACTTAAGAATTTTTCCCTATTGAGGTGTTAATGTAAAAAAAGGCTACTCAAAAAGTGAAAGTTACATTATCATACTACAGTCTGACCCATCATTTAAGAAACTATTGAATAAAAATACCCAGGTCTTTTGATCTCTAACAATTAATATAATTTTTCGTATATCTGTGCTTCGTTCTAGTGTTACTCGTGAATCATCAGCAAGTAACAACTCCAGGGGCACCCGATGGACCTGTTCCTCATAATATCTCTTCTGCATGCAATTTTTTGGTGGCTGGGACATTTAGGAAAAATGATATGTCCGTGGAAGAAAAGTGTTGCTGGGAAAGAGACAGTGCAGGGTGTCTGAGGGGATTTGTTGTCTAGAGTACCTGCTATGTGGTATTTATTCGCCCTATAATTAGATCCAAACTGGCCAGTAATTTTTGGACACACGTCTGCTGGAAAACTTCCCTGTAAGTCAGGTTGCAGAGTGTAGGCGCACCTTGCTCGCTGGGAACTCTTCTATCAGTCCTGCTGGGAGTGAGGAACAGATGAGTTTTTCCCAGCAATCTCCCAAAATGCTTAAAATGCCTTCAGGAAGCTTTATTCATGCTTTGTTGTTGTTTTTAGGTCTTTTTCTCAAAATTTCCCGTTGGGTGCCCCTGCAACTCCACGAGGAGCCGCAAGAGGTGATATTTTTGCACGGCATCTGGCGGCACATCAAAGAATTTGGAATTGAAGGGCAAATTCCTAGAATATCTTCGCCAGTTAAGCTAGAGAAAAGGTGTTAAAAAACCTCAGGATCCAAAACAACACGTCAATCAAAATATCACTTGGACCTTTTCGCTAATGAAGAGCTATCACGCGGCTAAGCGTGAATTAGACATACATTGAAATAGGAACTCGTGTCAATAAAGTATCTTAAGTGAGTGGGAATCGCTCCTAGTTAAAAAACTGGTTCACAGGGATATGCATCTCTTCTAGTTAAGAGAAGGGAATCAGAACTGCTTTTCATGCAGGAACAGGTTTTCTTCGGGCTAACTACAAAACTTCAGCTTATTTCACTCCTTGACATTGTCAAAGCGCATTTTGTAAAGATAACTTTTTCCGCTTTATCAGCTTTTTTTATATTCTATTCCATTAATGTTTAACCTCCCTCAAAAAGCCAAATAATATAAATGCTGTTGTTAAAAAAAGCGTTTTACCTGTTTTCGTGAATTCGCTACACAAAGATCACTATGCTCAAAGAGAAAATGCAATGATTATTATTAGTGTAACCATCAGGTATACTCTACCCACGAGGTTACGGACAGCAAATGCAGTGATTATTTTTAATGTAACCATCATGTATGTTCTACCCACGAGGTTACAAAGAGAAAATTCAATGATTATTATTAACGTAACCTTCAGGTATGTTCTACCCACGAGGTTACAGAGAGCAAATGCAGTGATTATTATTAAATGTAACCGTCAGGTATATTCTACCCACGAGGTTGCAAAGGGATCGGAAAATGCAATGATTATTATTAACGTAACCTTCAGGTATGTTCTACCCACGAGGTTACAGAGAGCAAATGCAGTGATTATTATTAATGTAACCGTCAGGTATATTCTACCCACGAGGTTACAAAGAGAAAATGCAATGATTATTATTAACGTAACCTTCAGGTATGTTCTACCCACGAGGTTACAGAGAGCAAATGCAGTGATTATTATTAAATGTAAACGTCAGGTATATTCTACCCACGAGGTTACGGAGAGCAAATGCAGTGATATTATTAATGTAACCATCAGGTATGTTCTACCCACGAGGTTACAAAGAGAAAATGCAATGATTATTATTAACGTAACCTTCAGGTATGTTCTACCCACGAGGTTACAGAGAGCAAATGCAGTGATTATTATTAATGTAACCATCAGGTATGTTCTACCCACGAGGTTACAGAGAGCATGCAAATGCAGTAACAATTATTAGATTTTAGTGCAGCTATCAGGTTGAGTTTCTCCATGAAAAGAGTTTTTTGCTAGGGTTAAACAAGTTTGGCTTTCATGAGTTTCAAGGTGCAAGAAATTATCAGTATAATTATAGCACACAAACATTGTCATCTAATTCTTCGCACGTAGCCGGAATAAGCCAAGAAATGAAGCATATATAACGAAAATCGTCCTCAGATGATCTCCATATTAAGTAAATGATACTAAACGTTGTGAAAGAAATTATTGTTTGTATCCGTCCTATCCATCGTAAAAGCGAGGGGTCATCGCATGACATCCGGTATATTAAACAGAGGTAATACTCACGAGTTTCAAGAGTTGTATGCACTATTTTTCGCGGAGAAACAAATTTAAACTTCAATTCTTACCTTACAGTAGTCCGTTCTTTTACTTTGCATTCGACAACAAATCCGTTAAATGCGAACAAAGCGATTCCGGCACTCTTCTTTATGATGAGTAGCAAGCCGCAGGAACTGAAGCCGGTTGACTGAAGTAAAATCCACCGATATGCGCTGCATTCTCACTACAAATATAAACAAACGTCACGGAGAAAAAAAGACGAGGAGGAAAAAATGCCAGATCTTCGCCTCGGCAATGTATTCCAGCTACCATGCCGGCGTATCTCCAGAGGACTCGACGTGGGACAAACCTTGTGATCTTTTTTTAGAAGCCCTTTGCGCGCAAACTAATTTATTCTGGCGCGAAATGAACAATATGTATACTGAAATCTAATCCACGACAAGAAGATTTTCGCACTGTAGCGCGACATATTAAATGCCTATTTTTACAAGTACGCGGAGAAAGTGGTTCACTAGTTTAACTTTTTTAAGATTAATTTTTTACTCCACAAAAGCAAAATGAAATGTTTTATCTCTATGTTGTTTACGTGCAGAAGTAAATTCATCATACAGACCCCATCAAAATGAAAGTACACGAATGAAACGGAATAAGTCTGGGACGGTTTAGTTTCTACTCAGCAGCTTCTTTGCTTTTATAACAAAAATTTAATGTTGCAGTCTGTTTTAAACGTTGGCATATCAACGCGCACAGTCACTGAATGAAAACAACAGTCACGATCACGTTCTTCGAAACCTACCAGACGCGCGCGACCTACCACTGTTATGGTAAGCAATTATCCTGAAGGTGTTAATGTTCCCGTGACAGTCTTCGCACTGAAGGTGTAAATGGTAAACCGAACGGTCGCTTTGATCATCAGAAAGACCTGTCAACTTTGATGATTTAACTGATTAAATTAAGGAACAGAAATTTTACTGCTTGCGGCTCCTCGTGTTTGCTTGCACAGTTCAAATAATCGGCCAAAAAACCTTGATAATTGAGATGTATCTCAAAGTCAACAAAGGCCCGCGGCAAGGAAAATTCTACCGATAGTTGAAACCATCAGTCTATTTATACATTAAGATAATCATGAATATAAACATGTTTTATCCTTCGTTCTTTGATCAACATACAGCATATTGTCATACTTTAACGCTCTAATTTATAGCTTGTGACCAACTGCCATATAAAACAGTACATTTCTAATAAGAAACCGCCATATCAAGGTTACTATCAAAATTTTCTTGCTAGTTTTGTTATCGTTCCTTCTTTTGACTAAATTGTAAAAGACTTTGGCATTTTAGGAGGGTGATAATCCTAGGCATGTAGAATAAGCCATTTTTTTTTTTGAATTTTCGTATTCTTTAAATCGCAAATATTTAATTATACCATAAAATAAATCAAATTTTTCCACACAACTATTTCTTTTCCTTTACTATTGCATTCCTTTCTGAGTCTAGAATTTTATTACATTAATTTTGTTCCTCTTGCTTTTCTTGGCGATATTTGTTACCCAGTACTTTTAGAACAAGAAAAATTCTCGCTCCTTTTGCTTTCTTTGCGACATTTGCGGACTTCTCGACGCCACCCGTTATTTTTCTCTTTCTC